AGTCTTACGTGTTTTGAGGCAGCTCATTGAGAGACAAGTTGAAGAAAATCTCATAAAGAAATCGTGAATTCCAGGCACAAGCTGGTATGAATTTTGTCTGTGGCATGTTATTCCCACCACCTTGCTGTTCTTTCCCCCATTTGTGCAGCCAGGTCAGTTTGACAAATCTGAAGAGAATAAGTTTGAAAGCAGATATTCATGCCCCTTTTCTATATTTTAAAATGTGTATTTATTTATACATGCAATATATTTATTAAAAACAAACAAACACTATGTTTATTAATTGAAGACAAAGGATTTATTCGGCGTGAAGACATTAGATAGTTAGGATCTCCGGTTCTTCTAGGGAGAAGGGTGTCCTTCTTTGGAGCTGTCTCGAGCAATCGCTCCACGAGGGAAGAAGGATAGGGTGGGCTCTCCATTTGGTGGTGTGCCACCCTTACTCCTATCCTGAGCAACTGTTGCACCTGGACAAGGAGGGCTGCTTAATCAATGTGAGAATTCCCCAGCCTAGGCATGATAGGATTTAGAAAGTGACCTAGAGTAACCTAAGGGTAATTATGCCATTAGCTTGAATTTGCATTATGGTACCTCCCCCAGCTCCTGTGGGCTTTCTTTGAGTGAGTTTGCATATGCAGATTTTTGAGGATACCTGTTGATCTTTTAATGACATCCCACACCTTCTGAGATCCCTCTCCCAGACTGGGCCAATAAAGAGAAACAATCCAAGAATTCATTGAGTGAGTCAGTCAAACCAGTTTTATTCTACAGTAAAGAGCTGCTCTTGTGAAACTGCTTCCTGCCTGGGGCTACTCCATCGTATTGGCCCTGCTGGTGAGTTTTCCAAGATAATAGTCTAGACTTGACAGTTTGGTATGTCTGGTCATTCTTCAGCCAAAAGCACACCAAGAACCGAGGGCAGACTGCCACCCTAACAATACTACCTTCCCTGAAATGATACTTCATATTCCATGATGACTGGCAATGAATCCCCTGCAGTGAAACATGTCCTGCTCGTACATTTACACAGTGGAACGTGTCTCTCTTCTGCTAGCCCATATATTCTAGCCTGCAGATTGTACAGTAGGTTAATTTGTGTGCATGTGGATTATCCAGGCGGTTCTTACACATTAGATTACTTCACCACCATGAGTGCATATTTCCCTCGTGAGGAATTGCTAAAAGGCATTTACACATCGCTGTAACAGACATTATGCCACCATGTGTGCCACCATGCGCTTTACCTTTCATTATTGGTTCAGTTTTCTCTTTGGGAGCTTGTTCACATCTCCCCCTAGTGGTGAGGCCTCCGGAACTGCAGGGGCTTCCTGGGAAGATGAGTCCAGAGAGCAGATTCCTTGCCTTGGAATGAAGGTACCACCTTCCCCGCTACCTGGCCCTTCCACCAGCCTGTTCCTGGTATCTGCCTTGCAAGAGCACTGCCAGAATAAACTGCTTGACAGACTCATTGAGATCAATAAATTAAGAGCTTAATGGATAGGTTTAAGAATAGATTCAGCATAGCTGAAGGCAAAATGAGTGAACAGAAAGCTCAACTTCATCAACCTGGGATGGCTGAGCCTTAAAAAATGCTCTCTCTGTCGGACTAGGCAGATTGATTTTAATTAACACCAGAGCTACTTACTCTGATCTTCCTGAATTTTGGGGACCTCTGTTTTACTCTCCTATCTCCATCATCAGAGTGAAAGGTAAAATACAAACCCCCTGTCTACTCCACCCCTCTGCTCTCTGGGTGATCAATTCTTTGCTCATTCATTTTAGTGCTTCCCCATTGCCCTACCCCCAGCAGGGAAAAGACCTTACGGTGAAGTTAAACACCTAATTCCTTTAACACCACAGGCTTCCTTTCTCGAACTTCTAGAAAAAGCTTAATTGAGACTTAAAATACTTTTTTCCTTTCCTTGGTATGCTCTGGACTTTCAAACTATATACTTTCCACCTTGTTTCAGGTAAAAATATCTACTTTTATCTGTATGTGTATACCTTTGTGTGTCTGTATATGTCATGTGTATGATATTTCTCTACCAAAATATGTAAAATAGCTCTAATTAATTGGCATTAAAAAAATAAGTGCTTAAATCAAATATTTTATTAAAAGCATAAGAAAAAATGTGGACTTCTCACTGCTCAAGATATTTCTGTCAAACATGCTAACCTTATCACACAACTCATACAGGCAACTCTGCTCTCCATTTGGAGTATTCCAGAAAAATTCCCATTTGGGTTGAGAGCCTCAGCCATTTGGGAGAGTAGGACTGTTTGTATTTGACACCCTTCCCTTATTTTTAAATTCGGTCCATTTGGTGTATGTGTGTACACACTGAAAATCCTCTGTCTCTGCCTATTGGGCTTTTTATGCCATTTAGACCTAAGATAGGTCATTTTCAGTACTGGTTGGTTTGAGATAAGATCCTTTAAAACCTCTCTGATACAGTGTTCCTGGGCTTGTGCCTAACACCTCTTAAATTTCTGTTTTTCTGCATATGTTTAAACTGATAGATAAATTACATCAAGAGAAAGTTCAGAACCCAAATGGTCAATCTGCTACTGTAGAGTTAAAATGTAGAGTTTATTAAGCTGTTTTTCTCTACATATTTTTTCTTTTGCCAGTCTAAAACTGCATTTGCTAAGTAACTGTTGTTGAGATAAAGCTCATTGGTCTTTGTTACCATTGACTCAAAGTTACCTGAAGCACCCAACTCTGTCAGCAGTGTGAACATTGAAAACTAGATACAAAGATAAAATTTGGTTTTCTCTTTTAAATAAAACTTTCATATGATACTAATAAACAAAATGATTTTGTTCGCCTTTTGAAAAGGGAAGGCTAGAGAAAAGAGATGGATTCAGTTTACCTCCTTGTAAACTGAGTCTCCTCTCTGTCAGAGAATAAAATATTTTGCCTTTAAAAATATTTTGATTGTCAGTTTGGCTAGGTGAATAACTATAATTTTATAGTAACCTGTGATCCCGTTTCACAGTCATAAGTGTTTTGTGACAGAATATGTTCAAAAAAGTTTACTGTCAAATTACCACTAATTTAGCAGCTTGATAAAACACCCATGTAGTTTCTCACAGTTCCGAGTTCAGACATTGAGCAGGCCTGGCTGGAAAGGCTGCTTAGCGTCTCTCGGTTGAAAGTCCGAATGGCAGCTGGCCTGGCCCATGCCCTGCAGTCTCTAGGGCACAAACCCCCAGTCGCTGGCAGAATTCCTTTCCTTTCCACTGTTTGCCATGCCTTCTCCCCTGTCTTTAAGGACAGCGCAGCCTATGAAAAATCTCCCTCCTGTTTTCTAATCTCTTATTTTTTTGGCCCCACACCTCTGACTTCTTTTTCTGCTTTCAGGGTTCATATTGTCATAGTGTGCCCACCCAGATAATCCAGAAAATATCTCCATTTAAGATTACTTTATTAACAAAAACTGTAACATTGCTTGTGTCAACAAAGTCCCTTTTTTTCCATAAAGCATAACACAGTGGAAGATTCACAACAGGACTGGACATCTCTGGAGGACATTATGACATCGGTGAATTTTTTCAATGAAAAAAACGTTATGGAAAAGTTGTCAGTATAGCTACAAAAAATACCTTTCACATTTAGGAATGGTTTCTGATGAGGGAAAAGAAAAAGAACACAGTGTATAAATTTTACCTGCCATGTTGAATTTTTTTTTCCATTGAACATGTACTATGAAGATATATGGAGATAGCACTGTTTACCTCATGTGAACAACTTATCAACATGCACACACATATGCTGAGGGTGAGAGTGGACTTTCTAAATGTCGGTGGGGCTGTGTGAGTTTATGTGACTGTGTCTTACTGGGTATGATGCGAGTGTGGACGAGAGTGACTTTGTTATGGAAGGTGTCTGGAGTGCCCCTGTGGTTGTGTATGTGAGTGTATGAGACTCTGTTTGAGTGGGTGGCAGGCACCTATCCGTGAGTTGTATATATGTGTGTGGTACATATATGTGTGTCCACCATTATGGCTCTATCTCTGTTTAGTAAGTTGGAGGACAATGATCTAATTTGGCCCAGGATCACATACTGGATTTGTTTAAGGAAACACCGAAGGACTAATTTGATCTCATATTGTATTAATGAATTATAAGAGCAAACGAGACTAACTACTAAAAATTCAGGAAAACATAGTCTAGAGTTTCAAGGTAACCACTGAATTCTTTGAATTAAGGAAGTAATACTGGCTTATCTGATAGTTTGTCAAAAATTTTAAAAGCTGAGTGTTGAACTTTTTGATCCCAGCACTTTTACTTGTAAAAGATACTAATAAATTATTATATTCCTGTGAATATTGCTCTGTTAAGACATCATGCCCCCACTGGTGATGGGGGAAATGTCATATATACATTTCTCTAGGAAAATTCCATATCACCTACACTTCCAAATTAATTGGGATCTAGTTGTACAAAAAAACAATAATTTCTAGATAAAAATCATTATCATTTTCTTCTCTTGTTTATTTTACTCGTTGAGAATCTTCTCAGGTGATTTGTTTCAATGCTCTTCTCAAAACTTAAATACTAGACCAGCTCAGTGGTCTGAAGATTAGGAAAAATCTCACTTTTGAGTAGAAGAACTTCTCAGGGAGCAGAAAATTCAGTGAGACATACATGCTGGGCCAGTCCCTCACATTTCAGACCTCACTATTAGCTATTCCTTCAATGTGACACCCTGTCTGTCCCCTGGGAGCAAGGAAATGAAGAGCCCCAACACTCCAACAGTCTCTTTGGAGATGACAACTGCTAACTTATAATTGGTTTTGTGTAATTAACAACTGATAAAAGCAAAAGTTTTTCACAAGCACCCTCACTTCCCCAAGCCTGTCCTCTCAGTGCAGATACAGGTAAAAAGATAATTACACTTCTGAGGGAAGGTGAGGTCACACCTCATGAGTCACAAACCCATATTTCAGGGTCTGGCATCCTCCCTTCCTCCCACACAATCCTGCTTGTGGTGACCGTCACACTGAGCCTGCAGTCCTGGCAGTCGGAGGAGCCAGGTGAGCGTTTTCTATTTCAGTCCGAGGCACGGGGTCTGCCCCAAGGGGTGCAAGTGATGGTTGAGAAAAAGGGAATCTTCGAGGTGGGAACTTCATCTGTGGCCACGGCCGCCCAAAGAAGGAGGAATAATTGTGAGGCCTGAGCTATGCTAATAGAGAGATGAGGCTCTAGACCCTACATCAATCCCTGATGCCACAGAATATAATGGAGTGTGATCCAAAAGGACACTGTTTGTGTTAGACGCAAGTGGCAGTGAAACCCGATTTGTAATGTGCTTAAGGACTGTAGTTTCAAAATTAATGTGCTGTTCACTCCATCCTAGCAGAATCATAGCCTGAATTTTCAGGATTCCTAACAGGGCACTATCAGAACATCATGCTCGTAAAGAGAAGCAATAAGTTGACAGGAGTCGCCTAACTTGCGCAGACATGGTGTATCCAAATGGCCATTGTGAGAACACAAATGTTTTCTCTAATTCTCCTTTTTTTAAAAAAAATTTTTATTTTAAAGCAAAATTTTAATTAATTTTTATTCTCTTTATTTTAGTCTTCTTTTTTACAGCAAAGGATAAGTCTTCAGACAAATGTTTTCTCTAATTCTTAATGCATGAATGCTTAACAGAAGCAGTGACTGTTTTCTCCTGAAAACATCCCTGGTCTCTTGGTATTGGGAGATTGTTCTTCATTTTCAATTTAGAGAAGGAGCATTTGAGGAAGTGATAACATTACACACTGGGTTTCAGATAGTAACCCTCAGGCACAAACGTTTCTTCTGCTGTATTCTCTAGTTTACTCGTATTCTCATATCAGTCCTGGAGTGTACAATTTTGATTTGTAAAATACACAAAATTTTAACATTTTAGATATTCTATGTTGTACATGAGACTTATATTTACTATATTTCCACATATCATGCCTTATTGGTACTACTTTTGATTGCATCTGGTATTAACGTCTACATTAGTGTATGATTTGAAATTAGTAACATTAGCTTTATACCTTACACTATTTTATCATGTATTGGTGTTTCCTGTCCTATAATTTAGAGCACACCATAGTGTTCAGGGATTCCTGTGATAGGTTCTATTTCATTTTCGGCATAAAAGCCAAATCTCATGTCTGTTGCCATCTAAAGGTAGAGGCAATTGTGTATTCTTTAAACACAGTTTGTCATGGAGCAATTCCCTGTAGAATTCTGTGACAATTCTGCCTCTACATTTTGCTAAAATATCTCAATCTTAATCATAATTGGTATTGACTTGGACAACAAATCTTTACAGAGAGATGAATCCTTGTTACAAACAAATTTATAAAACAAAATGCCACCAATCTAAAACAATATGTCAAGGATGAAAACAACAAAATACATGTCTGCATTATGTCAAGAACACAGTTCACTAGCTCTCTATAGAGCAGAGTATTTGTTTAAATCCACTTCTTCTTTTTTTTTTTTTACTAACCCTACCATGTTTAAGCTCTACTTTGGTGTAAAATAGTTGGGAATTCAGACAAATCATTAGCATTACCTAAATGTTAATTATCTTTCCAAAGGAAATAAAAGTACTGTGCTGCATTTGCAACAGCGATTCATATTTCCTGGGTGGTCTTTTGAGGTGATATACTCGATTTTTCAAAACCCATAAATAAAAGAAAAATTTTAGCGAAACATTTCTAAGTGGGCAACTATATAAGTGAAGAATATGGAATTTTGGTTGATATGAATACCTGCAGCTCATGCCTCAAATTTCCATGCAGGACTCTCTGTCTCTGAAGACAATTATCAGACACTGGGAACTCAGAGGATGGCCTCCAGGGATTTGGCAATGGGAATGATCTTTCTATCACAAACTATAGCTGGAATCCTGGGAAATTTCTCTCTTCTTTACCATTATCTCTTCCTCCACTTTATGAAATGCAGATTGAGAGCCACAGATTTGATTGTGAAGCATCTGAGTATAGCCAACTGCTTAGTCATTCTGTTTAAAGTTCCCCAAACGATGGCAGCTTTTGGGATGAAAGATTTCCTCAGCGATATTGGATGCAAACTTGTTTTCTATCTTCACAGAGTGGGCAGGGATGTGTCCATTAGCACCACCTGCCTCTTGAGTGTCTTCCAGGTGATCATGGTGAGTTCCAGAAACTCCAGGTGGGCAGAACTTAAAGGAAAAGTTCACAAGTACATGGGTACCTCCAGTATGCTCTGCTGGATTCTGGGCATAGCGCTAAATAGTATGGTTCCTGTGTATGTGACTGGCAAATGGAGTAACAAAAATATCACAAAGAAAATGGATTATGGCTACTGTTATGCTGCAATTCCTGGCAAAGTCACAGAGTCACTTTATGTAGCACTGGTACTCTTCCGTGATGTTTTTTGTGTGGGTCTCATGCTCTGGTCCAGTGGCTCCCTGGTTTTCATCCTGTACAGGCACAAGCAGAGAGTTCAACACATTCACAGGAACAATCTCTCCCCCAGATCATCCCCTGAGTCCAGGGCTACCCAAAGCATCCTTGTCCTGGTGAGCACCTTTGTATCTTTGTGCATTCTCTCCTCCATCTTTCACATTTGTTTAACTGTTTTCAGTAACTTTAGTTTGCAGCTGGGGAACATCTCTGCGCTCATCACTGGATGTTTCCCAACTGTCACCCCCTACATTCTCATGAGCCACGACTCCAGAGTATGCAGGCGTGGATAAGTCCTTTGCTTGCAGAAAGACTAGAATAATCCCCTAAATGTATCATCAATGTGTAAACCGTAGGCATATTTACACTGGTTAGTTGTTTAGTTATTAATACACCTTAGAGCTAACACAGTTCTGAACCAGTCATGATATAGGATTATGGTAAGCAGACTGAATTTCTGCTTGAATAATGCAATGAATTGAGTAGTAATTATAAATGAAATATTCTGTAATTATCTTTTTAATACTTGTGTTATTGGAATTTTACTAAAGTTGCTGGGTCTGGAGATTATGGAGAAGTTATTGAGGGTGTAACCTTGATCTGACATTATGAATTTTGCCAGATGCTAACTAGTTATAAGAATGTAGAATAAAGTTCCATTAAAACATCAGAAGCACAATTTCAGATGATCATTCAAAATACAGAAGAAAAACAAGTTCCCAAAGAGGAATGAATAGCACAAGGTTCAGCTGCGTGGTAATTTCATTTCAGAGAGTAGAAGCCTGAGAACCCAGTATGAATTTTCATGCTGTGTCTTTATGGAGATGGCAGTCACGTGAAATAAGATGTCATGATGGAAGGTCAGTATATTTCAAACATTTTCCTGTAGAAATGGCCATTTTGAACTGGAGCAGAATCCAAGGACAGCATAAAAGCATGTTTTTGCTGTTTTACAAAAAAAGACATCAAGTAAGTATTGCCTTTTTTAAAAAAAAGATTGCTTTCTAAGATAAAATCGCAAGAATTTAAATCATTTAAGAGAGTAGAATTACTGTCTCTATCACTGAACATTCCAATTGGGTATGTTGGCAGAAACTGATTCCAGTGTGTGCTCTCGTGTCGCTCAGGTGAGGAAATAATTTTATGTGGAGCCTTCTGTTCATCTTGAAGCCGTGTGGGAATGGGCATTTGGAGCCATTCTCTTTCTCTCTCTGTCTCTATCTCTCTGTCTCCCCATCTCCCTCTCATGTGTGTATTTGCTTGTATATATACATATATATTGCAATCTATGAGTTTACATGTATCTATGAGTTTATATCATCACAGTTTATATACCACAGTTTATAAAACCTGTCATATTATTTTTGTCCCCATCAACAATATTCAGAAATTATAAATTAAGAAATCAAGATAATAGCAATTAGAATAACATGCTGTTTTAAATTTGATTTTAAACTGATATGTATATGCCCATGTGTAATAAACTGTAAGAGACATATAAAGGATGTAAGATTAATGATGGCCATGAGGCCCTGAGAAGCTTCTCCCAGGGCTGAGACTTTGTGTCACTTAGCAGTATGATGCAACCCAGCCCGTGGGATTTCCAGGCCTGGCCCAGGGATTTCCAGGAGACAAGGCCACCACAGCATAGACATAACTCTCATAAGCCTTAAAACAATGCTGGCTGGGCACAGTGGCTCACGCCTGTAATCCTAGCACTTTGGGAGGCCTAGGCAGAAGGATTGCTTGAGCTCAGGAGTTCGAGACCAGCCTGAGCAAGAGCGAGACCCTGTCTCTACTAAAAATAGAAAGAAATTAGCCAAACAACTAAAAATAGAAAAAATTAGCTGGGCACGGTGGTGTGTGCCTGTAGTCCCAGCTACCTGGGGGCTTGGAGGCTGAGGCAGGAGGATGGCTTGAGCCCAGGAGTTTGAGGTTGCTGTGAGCTAGGCTGACGCCACAGCACTCTAGCTCAGGCAAGAGAGTGAGACTCTGTCTCAAAAAAAAAAGAAAAACAAAAAAATGCTTACCCTTATAACCGTTATAAGAATAGCTTAAACTCATTATGTGAAAGAAACAGCTAGTAACTGACCCAGATTGAACATGGGTATAAGAAAGTGAGGGAGGGGGGAATCTCCCAAATGCTGAGAATGGGCTTTGGACAGAGACCATTCCAGTCAGAGAATTGTCTCCATCATGGAATATACCTGGCCCTTCCGCCAGCCTGTTCCTGGTAACTGTCTTGTAAGAGCACTGCCAGAATAAACTGCTTGAGTATCAGAAGGTACATGAGCTTCATCTTTGATGTGAATTGTACCAAAGGGAAGAAGTTGCCCTCGGGAAGCTGGTTAACTGAGACCACCTGAAACCCCGAACATGATGCCATAATAGTTAATTGGGTAAATTTACATGGCATGTATTTTTGTCATTTTCTATTTGAATCCTAATATTTTATGTAGATATATTTTAAGGAGCAAACAGAATATACTAAAAAAGATTTGACTTTATTGACAATAGTCTTTAAGGTAAATGTTAAAGTGGATACATTCAGGATTGGATTCATATTCTTGTGTACTTTTCATTGCACTTATCCTATTTTGTTTTTCTTTCTATCTTAACTTCATATGCATCATGTAAAAAAAAAGTCTCTATTTCTTACCCCTTTTTGAGAGGTTGCATAATCAACTGATTAATAATACATGGAATATATTCTTCTTTATCAAATTTTAATTCCTTATGTTTCAGCTATATCTCTTTAAAATATTCTATTGAGTATGGTAAAATATTCTCGGTGTAGGGGTAATTAGCCTAATTGTACTTAATATATTAATGTATAGTTGGGGGATTGGATTTATCAATTTATCACGGGCTCCTCATTATACTTGTATGTTCTTAGGTTTTTTATATTAACTTCTTCTGTATTAATTTTTTAGACAATTCTATGTTTTACCCTTCTTCTTTGGAGGGTAACAGATACTGTATGTATATTCAGTGTCTGTTATTTTCTAACCTGAAAAATACAGTGTACTTAAAAAAACTAATGGCAGTGTGGTTATTGAATACATTTACCTCTACCTGGGCAATAGGATGGCACTCCAACAGTAATCCATTAATATTCTACCGACTTTGTTTTGATCTGTAGTAAATATTGTCAAAGTCCAATGCCCAGGTCATGAATGCCCATCTCAAGGAAATGTCACAACTGAGCACACCTCTGGATGCAATACCTAGATTAAAAACTTCATATTCCTTAGTCCTCCCTCACCCAGAAGTCACGTTTTACAACCTGCAAGTCACTACATTCACTGAAGAATCACCATTCTAACTTCTAGAAGACAAACAAGTCTCAGTATCTTTTTTGTATTATGTAATTGAAGTAATATATACATTTGCCAGAACTTAATTTGTTTGGACTTTACTTATTTCACATGTTATTTAAAAAGTTATTGCTACTGTTGTATATTGTTTTGGTTATTCATTACCATTGCTATGAGAGTCCATTGTGTGAATATCAAACAATTTAATCAAGTCACGGTTGTTTATGTGAGTGGTTTCTAGGTTGGGGCTATTAGAAGTAGCACTGGTAGGTAAATACAGAGCTCTTCTTTTGGAGAACATGCATGAATATCTGTTGGGTATTTTTGTGGGAGGGAAATGTTAAACCATAGATCTACTTCCATTCAGCTTTATTGGAAACTGTGAAATATTTTCAAAGTGTTTACTTTCCTATCTTCCTTTCTTTTTCCTTTTCTTTTCTTGTTCTTCTTTTCAATTTTTTCACCAATTTCCAAACTGACCAGCAGGGAATGAGATTGCTGGTATATGTGCATCCTGCCAACACTTAATAATTTCTATCATTTTCATTTTAGTTCTTGGTGTGTTATGGTTTTAGGAAGTGCTTAGTTGAATTTTCTTGATTGCTAACGAATTTGATGATATCTTTTCACATATTTAATAGACTTGGAGGAACATTTTTTTGAAGTGTGTTTTGGTTCCTTTTTCTGTGTTTTTCTATTCCGTTGTTTTTCTTGTCCTTATTGATTTACTGTAATACTTTATGTATGCTTAATCCAACTCCTTTCTTCATTCTGTCTTTCTCTCTGACTCTCATTGCCTTTCTTTTCCTGAAGATCAGCTTTTACAATTAATATAATCTAAATTGTCATTTCTCCATTTGTATATATATTTTTCCTGTGTCAGAATAGTTCTCCTAGTCTAAAACCACAGAGAAGTTACCCTCTTATTTCTTCTATCAATTTCATTATTCACCTTTAAAATGTAAGTCAGCTATCCAGTCAGAATCAATTTCTTGTGTTGTGATTAACAAATGACATGATTTTCTCATAAGGCTGAGTAACGTCAGTTTATATAGACAATGTCTTATTGCAAATTCTTTTCCCTTCTCTCAGCTATCGTCCCCTTCCCAGGAAACATCACATCCTCCTTGAAGCTTGTTTTCCCATGAAGACATGTGATCATTCTCTCCACCTCTTCCTGCCAACTGAAGACTGTGCCGATGCCCCGGCACCACGTGGCACCTGGAACCTGTAATGGGCCTTTGCTCAGATGATCAGTTGCTCTCGAGTTTTTAAGGCAGAAGTTGACCTCTTGCGGGTTCGTGTTCCCCTGCATCCATCACGTTTTCCTCATCATTTATCAGCTGCTTTTCCAAATTACCTTTTCAATGATTTTTGTGTAAGACACTATCTTTAAAGACATTAGTAGTGTCATTATCAGGGGTAAAACATAGATTACATACAGACCGACAGAACAAAGATAACAAATGCCTCCCACTCCGAGGCCCTACCTATTCCTCGGCAGTATTGACGGGGATGAGATGACTTTCTGTAAAAGGAAAGGACAAAAAAGCTTTTTTTTTTTTTTTTTTTTTGAGACAGAGTCTCACTTTGTTGCCCTGGCAAGAGTGCCGTGGCATCAGCCTAGCTCACAGCAACCTCAAGCTCCTGGGCTCAAGCAATCCTCCTGCCTCAGTCTCCCAAGAAGCTGGGACTACAGGAATGTGCCACCATGCTCAGCTAATTTTATATATATATATATACTAGTTGGCCAATTAATTTATTTCTATTTATAGTAGAGACGGGGTCTTGCTCTTGCT